GCGTTAAAAACTTTTTGAATGTTTCCAAAATATCTATCGCACACACTATACGAGTGGCCCTCCAACAAAAATTTTAAGTCTGTTCGTAGGAAGTCTCCTCTTGTGACCAGGTAATCCATATAAAAAAATAGAAAGTTTTGCTTAAACTGAGCCGGAGAATTGTCACACCACACTATAAGATGGTCATACCTGTCTCGGCCTTGCTCCGTCTGAAGTTTTTTGAGAAAATAGTCCAAGATTGAGATCACTTCATTTGGGCCTACACCAGCAATAGACTCGTCGTACATAAAACAGTGTATAATCTCCTGGTTTGCGCAGTATATACCCATTAGGCTTGTTCTGAGCTTTTTTGAGTAATACCAGTCTTGAGAAGACACCTTTGGTGTAGGTAAGCTTTTGTGAAAATCCATATGCAAAGTAAGCGTTTTCGAGGCCATTTTAGTCCATGCAAAGGGGCCTGACTACGTGAGGCTTAACACATCGTGCCCTCTTTAACGCAGTACTCAGTTTACTTTGAAACTTATGTCTTCAGTTACTTACAGCTTGCGCTAGTGGCTCGATATTCCAAAAAAAAACACTACCGTTATCACTTACGTTTGCGACAGTCATTGGAAGAGAAACTTAAGAGAGCGCGCGCAGGTCTTGCACACAGTTGTCTTCACATTAGGGACCCTAAGCAAAGGCGACTTTGAGCGATGCACGTCAACCGGAAGTGAGGCCTTCTCTTCTTTTATATGCCTTGACGCTAAAAAATTTGTATTTCTAAGTTTCTTTTCTCTTATAAAGACGATTTGCCCGGGATTTTGAACCCATCCACTGCCCAATGTTGCAAAAAGCCCACTTCCGGTTGACGTCCGTCGCTCAAAAACGCTGTTGCTTAAGCTCCCTTTTGGAGCCAAGAGTGACGTTTGCGGCAAACGGCAAACGTGAATTTGTACCACGTGACCAAGTGTTCCCTGTTTCTTGTTGTGAAATTCTCAACTTGAATCTGACGTTTGCTCTTTTCCTTAAAAGAGACTCTAAATATCTCTGTTCAGTCTGCCATGGCTCACGGTTTCCTGTACTTTTTTGAACTGGAATTGAATGTGTTTAAGTGAATCTTTTTCCGTGATGCGGTGTTTATTTTGTATCAGTACGGGCACTTTTTTATGTAATGAATAATTAAAAGGGATGACAATTCGAGGAGGGCGATTTTTTTAAAACAGATATATAACAAATACGCAACCCTTTTCCGGATTCAGGCCCATGTTTCAGGGTAGGAGGGAGGGCTACCCACCTATCATAAGGCATAGGAAGGTTGTACTTTCCTCAAGTTAACAAAGCCTTGATCTGAGACATGCGATTAGCTTTGGTAGGCTAAGGTAATAGGCCCTTTGCAGCTAGTCATTCACGTGGTACAAAACCGCCGTGCTGGAGAGCAAAAGTCGCACTGGGACAAGACTAACAAAGAAAATTACCATTTAAAATTATTAAAATTATCTAGTTCAGTTGTTACCAGTCCGCGAAGTGAAGTTCTCGCAAAGTGGGCCAATGTTTGTATATGAACTCTACAGAAACGGCTTTTTGAAAATAGCCCAGCTGTATTTGCAAGGTGTTGTCCATCCAAACTTTTATAGCGTTTTACAAACCTGCCCCAGTTATCGACAAGTCAAACGCAAGCTGCATAGCTTTCAACGTTTCGACAAGTTTGCGAGAAGAGACGCTTTTCCTTCGGGTAGGTTCAGATTTCCTATTTGGGATAGTGGAAAAGAAGAGTGCCTTTTTCCCCCGTGATAGCGACATTTAATATCCGTTCTAGCTGGTATAAAGTGCTACTCAGCTAATACAAAGTTCAGCAAGGCAAAGTAAATAGCTTTATCGTTGTCTTTTCGGGCGAGGGAAAGTTTTCCGAGTATTCCGTTTTTGCCTTACAGTTTGTTTGGAAAACATTTGCCGCTCTTACATTTTCTCCTATTAGCAAGATGAAGTTTTCCGATTGTTACAGAGATGTTTTGGTATCCGTCCTATAGCGTTGGAAACTTCAGCTTGAAAATAATGTATGGTTAAATGAAAAAGCGCAATATATCTGCTTTTGACACTTATTTGTGTTGGTTTGTTCAGTGTTTATGATAGGTTTTCCGTTGTTCGTTTGGTCCAGAAAGGTTTTCTAAGTATTCTGTTAACTTGTTGTAGACAGATAGTTTGGACAATATTTAGCCGCCTTAGTATATTCTTTCCTACTAGCAAGGTGAATTTTCCAATTGTTACAGGGATGTTTGTTACCCGTCCTGTACGGTCGGAAACTTCAGCTTGAAATGACTCTAAAAAAGAGTTAAAAAACGATTTTTTACTTTCAAGCGTAGTATGTTTTGATTTGTTAGAATTGGAAATGGGTTAGGAGCAAACCCGGTTTCAAAATGGCTGCACATGTTCCTGTATAATATTAATTCGACAGTGTAAAAGTCAACAATGATTTTAAAGGTAGTTAGATCTCTAGCTGCCAATAACCGTCTTATTAAAGTGATAGTGCCATTTGTTAACGCTCCGTGAAGCGGAAATTTACTGCTCATACCATTGGGAATTGCATCAATTCCGGTTCCGATTCCATTCATTCAGCTCAAAAACTTCCTCGCGAGAGGCGACAGACGGATTAACACACAAAAGAAGGCTTGATTCAAATCTGTGAATGAGTCTACATTTAGTTCCAGGAGCATGATTTCAATAATTGAAAGAGTAGAAATTACCAGGAAGCAAAAAAGATACCTTTTTGGCGCTTTAAAGTTTTGTTTGGTAAAGTGAAAAATGGATGAAAAGTAGACAATATTGACGTTAAAATGTTTTCACCCGAAAGCTTAAAATACCCGCCTTTTTGCTAAAAAGGTATCTTTTTTTAACTTCTCACCTAATCGACTAGCATTAACAAAAAAGGTAACAATTTTGCATGTTGTTCTATGAAAAATGTATGCAGAAAGTTAATTTTTCTGCTCTTTTCAATTAGCAGAGTTAATCTTTTTGTAAAAAAGCAGAATTGCCGGAACCTTTCACTGATTGGTGGGGAAACCGCAGAATGTAAACACCGCGGAAAATACCCTTCTTAAATTTTTCAAGCAATGAAGACATTCTTGGTAGTCTCAACACTTCTAGACTGCTTTTACATCGAGTTACACGAGCTGTTACACAGAAATTTTTCACTTTCTACGAGTTTACCGTTACAATAAACGGTACCTTTTTCATGATCACCAACAACAATGTATTTTATTTAAGATCCATAAGCTTACAATATTTTATGCCCTGCAAGTAGCCATAGTGCTAATCTAGGCAGAACAAACATCAGGCGTTGCTCGGCTGAGCCATTGCACTCCGGCTCTGCTAAGTATCGTGATGTCGTCTGGCCATTGCACTGACCATTGCACTACCGGGTCCGTGGCTGGGGGGGCCTGGAAAAAAAAAAACAAAAAAAACATTATAAATAAAGGCGTTATTAAATTACATGTTAAGAAAAAAAAGGAAAAGCAAAAAGAAAACCCTCACACAAACTCAAGCATAGGGGGTTTTGTTATTCGGAAAAAAAAAATAACCGGATGGGTGGCCGGGGCGGCGGGGAATGAAATATTTTTGGTGCATGAATTTTTTTTTCAAAAACCCGCATGTCTGCAGGAAGTTTTTTTCTAGGGCATATAAATTATTGTTTTTAGGTATCACCGCTTGCAGGATTTATTTTTAGACAAGTTTATAGAACAGAATTTTTTCTTGCCAACTGCGTTGCCCAAAAAAGGTAATGGTTC